ATTATTGATAAAGCGGGATTAGCCTAATATTAAAAAGATTTGTTCTTTATTAATAATTTTATCTTTTTTAGTTTATTAATCATAAAATATATTATTCATGTAAAGTGCGTTTTTGGTAAATACTTGATATTATAGACAGTGGTAGAGTCAAGATTTGAGATAAGGGAGGCTAATTTGTTGATATTTAAATTAAATTTGTGTTTAAAGTAGCATTTTTGATTTATTTTAGTTGTGTTAATTTAACTTTTGCATAAACTTCGATTTGATAATTTTATTTAGTAAATAGACGAATAGTTAAATTTTTCTTTCTTTTTAAACATAATGTTTATTAAATATTTTTTCACTTAAATCAAAAAAATTTTCAATTGTTATTAATTTTTTTATGTAAAATCATTAAATTAATTAACATAAAGGTAATGAAATTGGGTAACTTAAAAGGACCAAAAAAAGTAATACATAATTGTAAAATTGTAAATTTATATATAAAATCATACTTAACCATATTCAACATGAATTAACTATCCTTTGAAATTTTTGGTTATTAGGAAATAATTATCTAGTTATATTTGTGGTAAAAATATATAATAAAACACATTTAAAAAATGCAATAAAATTAACAAATTAGTGCGAATTAGTTTCGATTTAAAAAAAAAAAGAGCCTTAACCTATATTTAAAAATTGAAATCCTAATTTAAAATTCAAAAATCTAATCAATTTCTAAATCTAAATATCAATATTTAATAAGATAAATTTTTAAATTTTAAATTGAGTTTTAATTAAATAAAATAATAGAGTTTAAAGTTAAGACTTTAATTTTTTTAGAGTTTGGATTGATATGCATTTTTCCCCAAATTTTTAAAAACATATCAAAACTTTATATAGCAAATAATAAAATAAAACAAACATATTTGACTTAATAAAAAGTTTGAGTTAAATGTGAAATTTTAATATTTGACTTGAAAAAATAGATATTAATAACTAGAGTAAATATTTTAAACTAATTTTAGGTATTACGAATGTAATAACCTAAGGCTTTTTTAAAAAAAGGGCAGAGGAATGTTAAAAGTGTAAAACTTTTTTTTTTTTTAATTTTATAGCAAAAAATATTTAATACTAAAGGCTATTTTTATAGTTAGTAGATTATCTTTAATGATTACTAATTATTTATATTTTAAATTTAATGACTAGAGTTATAAAATAAAGTAATGGTAATTATTTTTATAAAGATTAAAAATAATTAAGTGAATAAAAAAATTTAAGGATAAATTTTTTAAACTATAAAATTTAAGGACTAATTTAAAACATTTTCAAAAGACAAAGGGGACTATAGCTCTGCCACTAATTATAAAAATTTAAATTTCTTAACTTGATCTTAAATTAAAGTTTTTAATTTCGTAAATACCAATTTAATCAAGTTCTTGTCACTCACTTTTGTGTACCATTAGTATTACACAACTAAGTCTTTTAGAATGGATTGCACCTAAAAAAGTCAGTTTGAGAAGAAAAGGGCAAATATTATTAATAATTTTTTATGTATTTCTAATGTTATTGATTGTTGATTAAACATATTGATATTATATTTTATAAATGGGATTGAATTCATTATCCTATTAACAATTTGGTCTAAATATTTGTGATAGGTTAATTGTCATTTTTAAAACATATTATATTTTAATAATATCTCAATTTATTTCTACTAATCTATAAAGAGATTATAAGATTAGGAGTCCTATAAATAGAATAAGTTACTTTTGACAATTTGTAAGTTCCTCCATATTCTTTTTCCTTTATTCACTAGTACATCATTCTAAAACTTTATTTAATTTGACTGTTAAAAATAGTTAATAATTAATAGAATCGTTGGATATTAGTACTTGAACCAGCTGTTTAAGGAAAAAAAAAAAGATCTAAATCGATAAGATTAGCTAAACTAAACACAACCTAAATACTCTTAAGTGTTTTGAGTTAGGGATCTTTAGGGTTATTACAAATTCATAGAGTGTGTTTGTAGAACTATAGAATTTTGTGAGTGACATGCTGTGTATATTTCCTATTGCACCAGTATATTAACTAGCTATCTACAAAGGAACAAACTACTATAAAGTAAATAAGTTTTCCATGTCTATGTTAGTTATATTTTTTTTGTTAATATTTAATTGATAAGTTTCTTAATTATCATTTTTATAATTTCTTGATTGAAATATAACAATAACATAAATTGGAGGTAGAGAAAAATGCTCCAAGAACAACAAATTTTATGCTCTATGTCATAAAAAAAAATTATGCTATATATAAGTAATAATCAAATGTTTAAACGGCTGATTTAAAAAAATCAAATGTTTAAATGCAATAATTATTACCTTTGGTCTTTTAAAAAAATTTTCAATTTAATATTTACATATAATTAATATTTTACCGTAATAAATAAATACCAATTAATTTTTTTTCACTTGATTAAAAAAATTTTAATATTTGGTTACATCCATATGAAAAAAGAGATAAGCCTATTTTTGCACTTTGTAAACTACAAAAAAAAAAAAAGAAAAAAAGAAAAAAGAAGAAGATACTATTGAATATGAGAAAGCAAGAGCATTCAGGGAGCCTTCTCCCAAAACTAAGATCATTGAATTGTAAAAAGCATTTTTGATAAAAAGTTCTTAATTACCGTTTCTTTACTAATGAGGTATATAAAAGTAGCAAATCAAATTACATACAAAATGGACAATGATACACGTACTTTATATAGTTACACGTACTTTATATAGTTACGCACTTTATATAGTTACACACTTTATTACACATTAACGAAAATCATTAGTGTATAATGAAAATCATTAATTTTAATGGTATAAGTAACGAAACCATCAATTTTAACAACATAAAAAACGAAAATCATTAGTTTTAACGATACAAGTAACGAAAATTATTAGTGTATAACAGAATATGTAACTTTGTTAAATGTACCAATTATTTTTCCATACAAAAATCAAAGTAAGACAACCAAAAAAATTGGATGGACTACAAATATAATATTTGTACTTAAAAAATTTGAAAACAACATTGTAGACTAGGGAAAAAAAATTTCATAGCAAAATGAAACTTACCAAATAACTTCAAATACCTTTAACTTTAAGGATAATTTAATCACTTTGTAAATAAATTTAATTTAATTTAAGAGAAAATCTCTATTTAAAGATTTTATCATTTCAACTTCCAAAATTTTACTAGAACAAAATTACTTTAATTTTAATAAATTTTCTTAATGTCTACAAACATCAAGTATATTCCTTTGTTATGTAATAAAGGTTTTGTTTGACAACACTTATCAGTGCTTTACTTTTTAGTTTTTATATCTTTTTACTATTTTAAAATTATATAAAATATTAGATATATAAAATATATTTTATATATTTTTCGGGTGTTAAAAGACTGAAAAACTTACAACTACAATTATAAATCAATGTTGGCAAACTAAGCCTAATTAAAGCTGTTCTTCTATCTTCCATTCCAAGTCAAAATCCCTAAAAACTTCGATCCAAAGCCTTGAATGTACAGTCCAATGGATGAAATTAAAAAGAGGGAGTTTGGTATCACTATCACCTAGAGAGAAATTCATTTGATAGTTCATACAGTTCTACGAGGAATTTTATTTTACCCATTTGAATTGCATGGAATCAGTGCTTTCAAATGCCATGTGTGAAAAACTACATTGCATTTTTGCATGCTTTCACCTTGAAATCTTTAAAGATTAGAAAATCAAGGCGACCTAATTCTTTAAAATTATCCAGTAACGTACATTTGAGGCTCAAATTAAGTGGATCTAATTTTGAGACCTCTTTAAGCCTCTTAAGGTTTTCCAAAGCCCAACTCCAACCATGCCTAACTCCTTGTCTCTTTTTTATACATCTTTTTTATTTTTTGTATTTACCTACGCTAAAGACTTAAAATTGAAATCCTTTATTTATTTATTTTTTCTGATTTGATTTTTGTCTTTAAATGGGCGTTTCTTTGTTGTTTTACTACGGTTATTTGTCTCTTTTTAGTTTTTTTTTTTAAGTGTAATAAAGTTTGGGATCTCATGGTGAGTTTTGATTTTGTAAACAAATTTAGGAATTCGAGAGGAATCTGTCGAAGGGATCATTTGAAAATGGAGGGCCAATTCTAGTTTCTCCTGATAAGATCTATATATAACTAGTTTTTTTCTCTTTGTTCCTCGTTGCTTATTCATACATTTTACTTATTGTTTTTTTGAACTGAAAATAATACATAGATTTTAG